GATGGTTCATGGCTTCTAACCCTTAAGGGTCAAGTGATTGTTGAGATTTGGGTCAATGATGCTTCATGGGTAATTCTCGGATCGTTGAGTGTGGTTATCAGAGGGTACATCCGGTGCCCGGTTCGAGACAGTGGTCAGGACACCGTAAGGAAAGGGAAAGTGTGTTCGAGTTTCGATGGGTATGTCTTGTGAGATCCGGTCCGATTAAGGCCAGGTGGCACGTTGTGGGAGTATTTCTGGAGTTGAGTTGCTGTAGGCTTCGAGGGCGAAGCCTAATTTAAGTGGGGGAGAATTGTAACATCCCGAAATATCAAGAGTAGAGTTGAAGGGCTAAAAGAGTAAATTAGGAAAGAGTGACTCGGCGAGTCCATGTGCGGACTCGGTGAGTAGAGTCGCGACTTGGTCGCGTGTTAAGTGGCCGACTCGGCGAGTCAGGGTAATGGACTCGGCGAGTAGGCGCTGAGTGGAGAAAACCCTAATTCTCGGGGTTGAGCCTTATATAAAGATCATTATGTTTCCCTCCCAGCCTCTTTATCACCCCTTGAGCCCCAGAAACCCCTAAATCACGAAGAAGCACCATTGTTGGATGGAGTGGAGCTTGGAGAATGTATTTGTGAAGGAATTTTGGGAGATTGAAGGCTTAGAGCAAGGGCCTTTGTTTGAATTCGAGTCTCATTTCAATTAAGGCATTCCTTTGAGGTAATATCTCGTTTTTTTTTTAGCTGCTATTTCTTAGATGCATTATTTTGGGGATGTTGGAGATCATATCTTTGGATGTATTGGAGTTTAGAGGTTAGATCTGAGGTTGCTACCTCAGATCTGGAAGGGAGAAGGTCTAGAGTGCATGAAAGTCCCTGTTTGTGAGTGGTTGATGGAGTCATCTTGTCCCAAATCCTAGCCCAATGTGCAAACGGCTTAGATCTCTTTGGATTCACGTAAAGTTTGCCACTTTACGTGATGGATGGGTTGTAGGAGGCTAGATCTATGTTTTGGATCAATTGCATGGCCTGGAGTGCTTCTGAATGGATTCAGAACGGTGGTACTCGGCGAGTCACATGGGTCGACTCGACGAGTTGCTTGCAGATGGCCTGGAACTCGACGAGTTGGAAGAACAACTCGGCGAGTAGGTTGAAGATAGCCTTGGACTCAACGAGTCCATTTGGACTCGGCGAGTCTTGTCGAAGAGTCCCAAATATTCTCTGGTAGAGTCGAGAATCGGTGAGTTGAGGGATGACTCGGTGAGTCGAGGCGAGTGGACTCAGAGTTGTTGGACTCGGCGAGTCTTGGGGTGACTCGGCGAGTTAGGTCGCAGATTGAATGAAGTTCTGATTATGGGAACTCGACGAGTCACAGAGTTGACTCGACGAGTCACAGAGTTGACTCGACGAGTAGGGTCAGTCAGGGGTTGACTTAGACTGAGGACTTTGATTTCGACCAAGGGTTGGTCGTTGACTTTTAGGGTTTGGTCAGCGATGTGGCCTTTGGGCCAAGAGAGAGGTAAACTAGTCTTTTACCCATGAGAGGGTGTTATGAGAGGATTTATTCTAGTCTCGAGAGTTATATTCATGAGAATATTTGCTTTACATGTTAGGCGGTGGCGAGTTTGAGATTCCAGTGTGGGGATATCTGTTTTCTGCTTGCCAGGTGAGTCTTCTCATTATACTTTACCTTGAGTAGGTAACCAGAGTTATGTGATAAAGTATTGGTATGCTATTTATGTTACGTGTTGTACTGCATTATTTCTATGTGATTTATGTGGTGCATATTTATCAGAGCTTAACCTGAGGGTTCACAGAGTTTGGGTGCACGGACCCACAGAGTTATAGCCTCGAGTGGCTAATATGTGCCATATGTGGTATTTTGGGGAACTCACTAAGCTTCGTGCTTACAGTGTTTTGTGTGATGTTTTTTTTTCAGGTTTCTTTCAGTATCACGGGACGACACCTGCTTGATTGTACACACCAGAGAAAGAGTCATATTTTGGAGGATCCTGGTTTTCTATGCAAGTGAAAATGGAGTCATGTTTTGTAAATCGACTATGAATGAGATTTTAAACAAGTGTTTCTAAGAATAAAATGATTATTTTAAATGAAAAATTTGTCTTGAAATTTACGGTGTTACAATATAACATACGAACTAACACACATTAAAATATACTAAAAATTATTTTATAGGGAGATTACAACAAAATCTCACTCAAATATAAAAATTATTTGGTTCCTAATAAATTAGATAGCTATCACTATTTATAAACATAATTCTACAGGACGAAATTAAATTTATTGAACATATAACGGAAAGTTTTAAAAAAATACGTCTCGTGATTTTATTTTGCAATAGTAACCTTACATATTAAACCTTCTAATTAAATGTCATGTCACATATCAACCTATTAAACCTTATATATTTCTATTATAATAAAAGAATAGGTTGATTATTTTTGGGTCGTGTATCATCCTATTAAACCTTCTAATTAAATGTCATGTCACATGTCAACCTATTAAACCTTACATATTTCTATTATAATAAAAGAATAGGTTGATTATTTTTGTATCGTGTGTCATCCTATTGGTTCTTTATTTTAAATTTCAAATTTTAAATTTTTCATTCTAATTTATTAAATTAAATAACATTAAAATAAAAATTAAATAAAATTAATACATATTATAATATCATGTATTTATTTAAATCAATGATTATAATTTTATATAATTAAAAAATATCTTTTAATTAATAATTTATTTAAAATAATTCATTAATAATTTTAAATTTTTATTATGAAAATTTAATTAATTATACTACCATATTTCATTGTAAACTAATAGGTACATAAAATTGTAAATTAGGATCTACTTCCAAGTTAAATGTGTAGCTAAGGTCCATTTGTTAAACGCACATTTATTGGATTACAACTAATCAATTGGATCAAAACTTTGTAATATTTTATTTTGTACATTACTCATTATTCAGGCTAGAGTTCAGGCCCCAAAAAAGTAATCTCCCAAATCGTGTATTAAAACATAAACAAAATATAGTAACTAAATAGCCACATTGGATGAGTTGGAATAGGCAAAAAGAGAACTTCTATGTATATTGAAACGGGTCAGTTGACCCGACTCTTTTTCTAATATAGTTTTTTTCTTAATAACTAGTGTATTAATTTACAAATATATTATTATTATTACTCCATTATAATAACAATTTAACTTTAACGGGTTATAAACAAATAAATCAAAATTACCACCCCCATCATGGATCTAATATAATTCACTACGTTTCACCTGAATGGAGTTGGAATTTAATAATTAATTTACTTTGAATGAATTATCACAAAATCAACCAAAAAGTCGCAAATATTTTTTACTGAATTCAAACCCTAGATTTTCTGATAATCGTTTTGTTTGACACTTAAAATTAACATATCAAATAAATAAATAGAAAAACGATCATATATTTGTGGACACACTATCGTTCGATCACATATTTACAACAAATCCTAAGTTTTTATAGCCAAATACTTTTCCTCCTATTGTTACACTTAATGCATATAATCGTGTATACATCAAAATGTCATTTGGCATACAAGCCATTTCAATATTTATAGTGGGGTCAAACACATCCATAAACTTCCAAAGCCACAAAAACGTCCATATCTAATATAATGACAAAAAGATAAACATTGCAATATTACATTAAAATTGTGAACTAAAAATATCACATATTAAATAATTCTCAAAACTGATCGTCACAAGTCACAACTTCAAAATAACAAACAATAATAATAAATAAATCCAATATTTCTCACAAAAGAACACTATTTTGACAATATTTATAAATATTAATAACTTACAATATCTATATATCGGAAAAGCTAAGAGACTGATCGGAAAATATCAAAAAGTTTTCGGTGATCAAGACTTCCGGTGACCTCTTTTGTTTGGTTTCCTGGTGGTGGTTTTACTGAACATAGCACAGCAGCCGGAGACTTTTGGTGAGGGAGGGTCCACGGTGGGTTCAACCACCTGAGTCCGATATGGTTTTGGGTCTGACTCGGTTTTCACTTTTGGCTTAATAAGTTCCCCGGATGATAATTTATCTTCCCAAACTATCCCTGAAGAACCTATTCTTCTAAATGACACATCTGACCTTGGTAATACTATTCCACCCATCTAAATATTTCTATGTGGCTTCTTAACCGTTGGGTTTTGGGTATAAATAGCCCAAGAGGAAGGAGAATATGACAAAAGAAGCATAAAAATGGTAAAAAGTCAGAAGATGACATCTATTCGGGGTGTGAAATTACATTGTTGCCCTACGCCTATACAACTAAAATACAAGTCGGTGTAGAATGTTTCATAGTTATGAAGAGGATGAAGTCAAACGAAGACCAAGGTTTTAACATGTAGTATGTGGGTTTAAGTATGTACTTTATAATTTTTTTTTTCAATAATATTATAAGCAGCTACTCTTGAGTTTTTCCAATCGACATTATACAAATCTAGAGAATTTAATCAGAATATAATTTTTTTTTTTTTGTAATATTAACATGTGATCTTGAATTTGTCTCCGATAACTTTATAAGAATAAAAAAAACTTACCAAAGATATTAAGCATCCACATTGCAGTCAACCTATGATCATGTGAATTAAACAGAGCTTACAGAAACCATGTCAATAAAAACATTTAATTCACAAAATAAACTCAATTTCAAAACCCCAAAAATGGAAGGAAAAAAAAAACTTTCATCCCATGAAAGTAGACATGCATAACAAAAACTAAAACTGTACATCAAGAGCACAACACCCTCCCCCCTACCCCACTACCCAAACTTCCTTTTGTTCTTGAGAATCTCACTGAAAGGTCTAGGACCCTGAAAACCATATTTTCTTTCATTCAAATGTCTAGAACCCTGAAAATCATCATTTCTTTGAAGGGTATTCTTCTTTTGTTCTTTTATTTCATCAAGGCTCTTTGGTCCTGTGAAAATAGCATCTTTTTCCTTAAATCTTCTCTTGTGTTGCATCAACTGTGGCTTCCTGTATCTGTTCATAGGGACAGCTTTTCTTTGAGGATATCTTCTAAAATTACGATCATACCCTTGAGAAAAACAGTATGGAAAAGGAAAACCATCATTAAAAACCTTTCGTTTCTTCAAATGCTCACGAAGATCATGACCTTTTCTGCCATTAAATAACGGAGCTTCTGATTGTAAGTTTCTTTTCTTGAAAGAAAGCCGATAAAATATACTCTTTCTTGATTCCCCTTTATCTAAACATTCATAAACATCACATCTATCTTTTCCAATTCCATTTCCCAATTCAGGGTAAGTTTGATCATACTCAATAGGCTCTTTTTCACCTTCTTCTTCTTCTTCATGAACAGAAAAATACTCAACATCTTGTTCATATTCATACCTTTCAGATTCACCTTCAACAACAACATCAAAACCAGAACTTTGATCATTAAAAACATCAGATCCACTTTGAACAAATTCTTCCGGAAGATCCAATGAGTTTGATATATCAGGAGACTCGCTTCTTTCTTGCTTGGGATTGGGATCCTGTGTGGCCGTCCTCACATTGTTTGTGTGGTCATCTTTTACAGGTTCAGATGGAGTGGGGTGGATGTTGACTGGTGTTGACCTGGTTTTACTTTCTGTAGATAATTTTTCTACACAGGGGACTGGATTGTTGACCATGGATATGGGTTTAGAGGGTTTCAAAGCAAGGCTGACATCAGCAGATCCATGGAGAAATGAACAGTGTTCTCCTTTGTTACAAAACCCTTTTGAGTAAAAGTAACAAGGGATGTTTGTTTTCTCCACAGGTAAAGCAGGAGCATTGTTAAGGTTAGAAGATTCTAGATAGGCTTCCTTTAGTGCTTCTAATGGCTACAAAAGTAGCAGAAAATAAGTTCAGAATGCATATTGGTGAAATAACTAATAAGTAATAAGTAATAACACCTGATAGTATAGAAGAAGATAGAATATTGATTAAGAAGTAGGAGCTTACAGGATGTCTGAAAGCACAATCAGGGTTAAAACAGCACCCTCCCAACCAATACCAGCAATCTCTAGGGTTCAGTCTTGCAATCTCACTGTGTCGGTATTCACATTCAATTCCCTTGAAACACCACAATTGAAATGGGAGGGAAGCACAAAAAAGTCGATTAAAATGCAGAAAACAAGAACTGAATCAGCTACATTCTACAATCCAACTTGGTTTTGGAAGAATGCAATGTTTGAAAGCAATGGAAATGAGAAAGCAATATAGCACGAACAGAATGTGAAAGAAAACTGAGATAAATTTCAAAAAGAAAGATAGAGAGATACATAAACCCTAACTGGAACCAGTGGCAAATCCTCCAGAACATGGAAATAGATTTCGAGAAAAATGTTTGGAGGAAAGAAATTAACAGCAATCATCCTGAATCCCTAATTTAAGTATATCGATACGTAACATTATCTCTCTATAAACAGTCTAAGAAAAGGAAAACCAAAATAGTTTACAATGAAATAATCAGATTCGTAAAACCCTATGAACTATAGCCTCGTAAACCAGATAGTTGCAAAAGAACAGATTACAGAAAACCTAAAACAAATTTCCAAGAACGATAATCGCTACATTACGCAAACGCAATCGAAAGCATAAATTATAAACAAACAAATAAAGCGAAATTAAAAACACATTCGAAAACGGAGATTATACCTTCTTGCAAGTGAGCGGAGAGGCTAAGAAATAGACGCAATCAGTGAATCGCTTCTGTAATTCTTCTTCGTCCATTTCTTAAGACACACAAAGCGCAGGAATCAATGAAATCTGTAAGAAAGTTGCTTGAGATAAATGCTATGTTTCGTCGATATGGAAATGATCATATAATACTTGATTGAAAAAGAAATCGATAAATTTCTTAGAAATTAGGTTTCCATTTGATCTTTGTGGTGAACAAATTGGGTTTTCGGATTCTGAGTTTATGCCACTGTGTGTGTGTGTGTTTACGAGAGGGGGATTCTGTTCGTCTCAATCTTTATTTAACTTCGAGACACTAAATTTTCTTATTATAATAAAATATAGCTTAGTTTACAATAAATGGTCCCTAGAAAACTTGACTACTTTCAATTTCTTCCACTTCAAATTTATATTTTCACTAATAGTCTTTATTGCAACTATGGTTTATGGTTTCCCAAGTGTTCAACTTTAATGGTTCCTACTTATCTTAGCTACGTGAACTATGTGACTAGGGGTGTAAACGAGCCGAAATGAGCCCAAACCTAATGTTTCAAACCTTATTTGTCGTGTTCGAGATTGGCTCGTGAAAAAATACACAAGTTCGAGCTTGATTTGTTTTGACTATTGAACCTAGTCAAGTAAGTTTAAACTTGGTTTGAGCTCATTAAGAAGCTTATTTATAAATTCATTCATGAAAAATAAACATTAAATCTACTTAAATTTCAACCAAGATGAAGATGCAAAAATAAAAACTTCAAATTACATAATTTTTAAACTCCAAAATAAAAACCTAAACTGTAATTAAATCATCCAAAAACAAGTCTTTTATTATGGAAGTTCAAATTACAAAAATACTATAAAAGATCAAATTTTAACGTAACATATTATCAAAATATGTCTTCCTTAAAGCAAATTCTTATCAAAATATGTCTTCCTTAAAGCAAATTCAATCAAGCGAAGTCTACAAATTAAAACATTTTTTGAAATGTGCAATATATTGTAATTAAACCAACAAGATTACATATATATTAAAAAAGGCATACCTTTAACTATCATTTGTTCATGTAGGTAATAAAACCTCGGTAGGTATTTCATCCTTCGGTGAAAAGAAAAAGATCAAATATTAATAAATTTGAATAATCAATTGATAGTTCATGTGTTTTAAGTTTATCAAATGTGCTTTTAATTTTTTTTTTCTTAATTTCATAACGATATCTTATCCAATCTCCTACACAAATCAATTTTTGAACGGTGTCCGGTACCAATGACTGAAACTAAAGAATTACAAGCATATACCTTACACTTATGGTTGATGGTGATTGATTGAAGGTTGTTATTCCAATCTAAAGACCTTTGAAAATGGTATGTATTAACCTAATTTTGCCTTCAAAATCTCCATGTATTGTCCAAAACATAGATGATAGATCTTTTCCTATCAAATAGAACTAAACTTCCACTGACTTGGTAAGCGTACGTTGAGCATAAAGTGTGATGTAGTTTGCATGGACCTCGCAATGGAGCCATATAAAAAGTCATAAAATCTTTTTGCTTTTCATCATGCATGGATCCCACTTGGTGTGCTAAGGTCGAATTAAATACTAAATTTTATCGATTTTGACATAACTTTTATATCTCATGTGCAAATCACTTGGTTTTTATATACACTTTGTTTTGACTTTATATACACACAAATTAACTAGAACATTCAAATCCTACACTAGACTTGATTTTATAAAAGGAGCCAACGTAAGACATAAGACTTAAGACACTTGTAACATTTTAGTTTCAATACTTTAACAATATTACTTATATAATACCATATTACTATAACTGATAGTTGTTCTACATCTAAAACATGATTTTGCATAACGAAAACAAACACATATTCTTATGTGTTCATACAACTTAGAGGATCTAAGTTTCATACTATTACTGCCACAACTAAAGAAAATAAAGAAAACACATACCTCTTTTGATGTTAACGATCTCCTTGCTTGTGACATTGTTCTTGCCACCTTGTTTGGATTAAATGATCCAAAACATAATCTCTTTTTTGGTTCACACCAAAGATCAGAACAATATTAATTAGGAGAGAGGATGTTGGGTAAAAAATATGGTTTATACTTTGCTTTTCTAGGAAAATATATTTTTCTATAATTTTGTGGTTGTGTACGGCTGCACATGTGTGTGCGGCTGTACACTCGTGTGCAGCTGGTGGCCCATGTCTCATATATATAGGGTGAGGAGAGAGAATGAGAGCAGGAGCATATTGTAGAGAGAGAAAGTTAGAGAGAAGAAGAATGTGTGTGAGAGAATCTATGTATATGGAGCATCAATCATATTATTGAATACATCATTAGATTCATCTTAATTATTCTTCTCATTCTCTTCTAATTGATCTGACATCATCCAATTGATTGGAATTCCGTACCATCAATTGGATCTGATTGATACACAAACAATTTTGGGGACTTACAAGTGGTATCAGAGCAAGGTTGTATCAATCAATTTTGTCATATCTGGAGCTTATTTGAACTTATTTTGCGTTTTTGGATAGATCTTTGAAAAATAAGGAGGGTTTGTTCTTTTCATTTTTCATAAAAACAAGTTTTGATCGAGTTTTGGAGCAAAAATGGGTGAAAACGTCATTTTTCGCGAATCTATTGAAGGTGTGCGGCTCGGGTGTGGGGCTAGTGAGTGTGCGGTCGGCTCGGTGTGTGCGGCGTGCGACTCAGCAACTTCTCACGTATGCGGCTTCGAACGGTGTGTTGATCAGCTCACGTCTTCGCAACGTTCATTAAAAAAATTCAAGGGAGTTTTGGGGTTGCCGAGGATCAAACCATGGTCCCCTGGTTTATAATCCCTCCACCTTACCAGTTGGACTAGCAAGTCTTTTGTGACACTTCTTCCGTAATTAATTCATAAAGTGTTTTAACCCCAAAAATCAATTTCTTTCATTTTTAAATTACATTTTCAACAAAAAAATTTAGTTCTTAAATTTTGACTTATATTTTTGACTCTTTACTTAAAATTTTGACTTTGACTTTTAAAACTTGACCTTTGACTTTAAATTTTGACTTTCTCGTTTGACTTTAAAATTTTTAAATTTAGCTTTTCGATTTGACTTTGAAGTTTGACTTTTAAGTTTGATTTTTTAAATTTGAATTTTAAGGTTGACTTTCTCGTTTTGTTTTTTAATCAAAGGGCAATTAAAAAAATTATTAAAAAAAAATGAGTTCCACATCAATTCCGGTAAATGAAGTTTTATGTACTCTATCTTGTGTTAAAACTATTAAATTTTTACGAGAATCAATAAATCTATCAAGAGAGATAATGAGGACTTCAAATACGAAGGATATCAACTCAAGAAATGACAGAAACCCCTAAAAGCTCAATTAGAAACCAAAATTAATGATTTCCGAAAACTCCAATAAGATTACAGTAACAAATGTGAAAATTATGATTACATTAAGAAAAAACTTGTTGCTGTAACTGAAGAACTTGTCGCTTTGAAAATTAAATGTGGAAAAACATATATTAGTTTCAAAAGTTACAACGCGTTAAGTAAGACAGTCGAGTCCTTATTTGAAAACCAATTAAAATTCAAAGATAATCAAAACAAGGGTTTAGGGTATGATTGTGTTCCTCCACCTTTCAATCATAACTACACATCCATCCCTATGATACAGGAAGAAATTCACAAGGAGACACATCTCCAATATGGGAAACCTTGTGACATCCCCAAAATCTCGACCAGAAAAGACCAATTTTTCATTTATGCTTTTAAAATAATTTCAAAGTAAATCCTTTTGATTTGAAAGAGTTGCGGAATTTGTTCCCAAAAACAAAACATGATAAAGCAATGTTTACCAAAGCATTTCATAAAAGAAATGTATTTTCATTATATAATCAAAACTCGGGATGTCATGTTCCGATACAGACCATAAAGCATAAACGCTAACATTACAAGTCATTCAACAAATATATACATACACAGACTTGTAAACAAAACAACTTGATGGTTCATCCATCTTATGCCCTTGCGCCACTTCCTGTAATACAAATAAAACTGAGTGGGTCAGGCTTGGGAGCCTGGTGAGCATATAAGGTTTTCAACCCACAATAAATAATTAAATTAATTTTCATCAACCAATAGTAACCCAATTACCCATTCCCGTTATTCTCACTTTATGTCCCTAAAACTAAAATAACTAACACAAGGGACCTAGTCTAAGAATATTTCATCGGGGTGACAACACATGCTTCGGGGGTTCCTCAACAATATAAGTCAAACAAGGCAACCATGAGGGGGATGGAATACAACGAATGAACACCCAAGTTCATTAACACCTACATGTTATGAGCCGGCTAGCGTTCCACTGGACTGTCTAGAAAAGTCCGTGGTCGTCATCTAAATTCCGCTAAATGACTGGATCAAAACAACATCGAGACCTCTCATCTGTTTATTACACACCAACTATCTACCCATGTTCTACCCAACATATTAGTAGATAAAACATACATTTTTATACATAGTTTCAAAACCTGTATAGCATGCTCAATCAATACATTTTCCACATAACAGATGAGGCACACCCACATAACACGTATTTCATAGAGAAATAATCAGATCTATAAGATAGAAGAAAGTGAATATACATTCACACACATAATAACAAAATATACACATAACACGTATTTCGTATAAAATACTGCATAATTATGCGTTAGAAGAAAGTAACTACACACTCACCTGATCAGAAGATGATCGGACAGCACTACGGCTTGTAGAAGTAGTAATCCTCAGCAGATCTGGAAGATCTCTACAAAAATCAAACTTCTCGCGGGCAGAGCTTCGGCTCGGGAACCGCACTTCTCGGGATCTTCGGGATCTCGGGACTTGCTTCGAGACTCGGGAATATTATCGGGGCTTCGGGGTACTTCTGGCGTGCAAATCGATACAAAACACATAATACTCAAATAATAAACTTCTATTATTTCAAAACGGGTCACAAAGGTTAACCTAAACTATTTCATTGCTAAAAATGGCAAACCCGGAAACACAGGCGTTACAATTCTCTCCACCTTAGAATGATTCCGTCCCCGGAATCACACATTAACAAACAAATGCGGATAGCGACCCATCATGTCAATCTCCATCTCCCAGGTGAGATTCGGCCCATTCGTGTGTTTCCATCGGACAAGCACTAACTCGACTATCTTGCGTCCAACTTCTTAGTCTTTCGCTCCTCTGGTTCTTCAATCAACCTTTTTTTTCTCATCGATTCTCAACTCC